AAAAATTGGTCCTCAATCTTAAAAAAAATTCTGTAAAAATTTTGGGCCCTGTGCGGTTGCACCGCTCGCACCTGCTCAGAACCACCCCTGGACATAACATTTGGATTTTTCAAATAATTATAATAGATAGATATGTTATTTTTAGATATATTCTCTTTATAGATATGTTATTTATAGATTACATTAAAGATAGTTTTAATCGTTACAGAGAAAATCGTTGATCATTTATTTTGAACTTGGTTTATCGGACTCGGTTAGTTTAATTCCCCAAGGAGTTATCGGTCGAGATGTTGTAAATAGGTCTCTAATATTGGGCGACTGATGCGAATGAGAGACAAGCCGGGATGCTTCATTTTAGTCTAGGGTTGGACATTGATTGGTTCTATATTTCTCTTCGACACGGACCAAGACGGGAAAGAAGCTTTCTGATTCAAGACATACTATCAATTCCTGACAGTTGAGCCCACTCTCGCTCAGCCGCACCACCCAAGGTCGGGGTGGGAGCCACCCGCGACACAGTTGGAACTATTTCGTTGGTGAGATTTGCACTTTCATATTTCAAACATATGTCTTTAGTTTCGGCTTTGTTTCACCTGTTTCTTTCTTTTAGGCTTTGTTTCCGAAGAATTTGTGTTTGTTTATCGGCTTAGTTATTGAAGTTTCATGTTTGTCTGTCAGTCTTATTTTTTAGTATATTCTAGCTTTGTATGTTACATTCTTTAATTAAATATTTATAATAGCAAAATAAAAGGTATTTCAAAAAATACTACCACATTTTTAATTAACCAATTAATCATCACATTTTAAAATTAACAAAAAAAAAAAGAGAGAGAATTCTCTTTAACCTTGTAAATCAGGGTAGTAGATCCACATGTCCTTTCTATAAATTATACTAAACTATTTTCTCTTTTCTAAACCGAATAAAATCGAAATCTTTATTTTACAAAAGTAATAGGAGAAAAAAAAAAAACTGACTTCTACCCCGTGTTAGATTCTTCTACACCACACCAAATCTGCTTTTCTCGAGTTGTGATAATTTTGTTGCGACTCAATCTTTCTGAAAAACGCAGCTTCCGATATTTGCTAAGAGTTCTTTGATTCTACCAAATAGTAATACCCCACAAAAAACAAAACAATAATTATCAATGTTTATTATACCAAAGGAAGCCTAACTAAAAATTAAAAAAAAAAAAAGAGAGAGTAATCAAAATCATTCATCAACACAACTGAAACTGAGAAAAAAAACTCATAAATTTTTCCATCAAGCAAAACTGTACATATGAGAATTTACTTCTCAAGTCTCTCAAATAATAATCATAAATAAAAACCAGAAATTATCCTAAATAAATATAAAGTCTTTTTTTTTTCCTTTTCTAATTCAAAGATAAATTTAAGAGAAGAACAAAGAACAAGAAACAATGGTGTGGGTTTGAGCTCACCTCGCTGATCTGCTTCTCTTATGGTTTGCGGTATTAGTAATCTCTATGTTAGCTTTGATCATGTCTTCAAGCTCCTTAACTCCTAACTTAACGAATTCTTCAATCACTGTATTCATAAAGCTAGTCACATCGGTCCTAAACTTCTTAGAACCGCTCTGGCTAGTTTCTTCGAGATCTTGGACACCGCCTTTAACTATCGATGCAACAGGAGCTCCTTGTTTATAAGCATTGCACGCTTTCACTATGTCGATAGCCCGCACAAAGTAATGACTACGAACAAACTCTTCAAAATGCTGCACACATTGATCAAAACAGATTTTATATAACCCCCAAATTGGCCAAGAAACACAGATTACTGGTGAAAAAAAGATGATTTTATATACCGTGGGCAGTTTTCTCATGCTGTAAACCATTGTCCTTAATGACAAAATGAATACGTTTTCGCTGTAAGTTTTAGATTGAGCTTCGCCTGCAGGAGTCCCCTTGGACGGCGCCCAGCCAGGCTCGTTAAAGTATGGTTTTTGGTTCAAAATGAGTGCTTGGATTGAGACGAGAAGCTGTAACATTGTCGACTCCTTTGGTAGCCATTTCTCCCTAGACTTACCAGACCAGGTACCGAGAAGACTCAAGCATACTTTACCACAATTGTACAGATTCGGGTTGATTCTAAGCCCGCCAGAATGGTAATAAACTTGCTGTTAACAACAAATCGAATTTCTAGAGTCATACTGTTTCGAAGGGGAACAAACAAAAAACAGAACACATAATGAGAAAGTTCCTGAGGACATACTGGTGGCGATGAAGGATAGTTATCTGGGAATTGGATATCGAAAAAGAAAAGACCGTCATGGTACGGAGTTCCCTCGGGTCCAATAATTACAGCTCTCAAAAGATCCATTCTTGATTCATAGGCTCTGACAAATATTGTCTCTGTTTGCAAAACATAGAGTGAAGTTTAAGACCAAACATTGTCGATAGCGTTGCTCTGCAGAGTATATACACAAACCTGGCAAATCTTTCTCGAGAATCTTCCAATCGTTTTGAACAGCTCTCACCCAACTCGTTGAGTGCTGATAAGATAAAAGAGAATCAGGTTAAAACGAATGTTGAATATGAATTCAACAACAGCGTGAGATAAGATTAAATTCAATCATCGATCACCTGCTTCGAAGCTTTCCCTTTAGAAGCATAGTGATGATCTGAGCAATCCTCAACAGTATCAAACTTTTTAAAGTTACGCAGAAACTCTTCCTTAATTTTCCTAACACTAGAAGAATCCTGAGCTGGTGGAGTAACCTCAACCACAGTAGCGCGAGAAGAGCTAGCAGAACCATCGTACTTAACCGCGCTCGAAAAAGGAGTAGGCATCATCACTATATCAGGAATCTGAGGATGTGCCATAGAAGCAGAAGAATACATACCATGCTGATTGTTCTGAGGCAAATCCAAACCCGAAAAGAAATCCCACGACGGAGGATTAACAGGATGAGTTGCCGCTAAAGTGTTACCGCTTCTACTCGATTTCGCGGTTCCTTTGCTACTCCAAGGATTCACCACTTCAACAACATCAGCAGCTACCATATTCTTAGAACCAAGACCGTTTTGAAACATTGGATAGTCATCAACATCCATAGGTTCATTACCAAAGTGACTAAACGGATTATGATCATAAGTTCCATTGTTAATCGAATAAGGGCTAAATTGTATACCCTTCCCTTTGTTCTTCGCATCAACAACATTGCCATTATTGCGACATTCATATTGTTCCACATCAATCACTTCAGGAAAAGCCTACCACAACAAAAGATAAAGCACCAAACTTTATTACAATTAACCAAAGATCAATGATTTTCACATTACCTAAAACTGATCAATTTCAACTTTTA